CCCGTGGGGCACACAGCACATGCCCGTGGTGCACACAGAACATTCCCGTGGGGCACACAGCACATTCCCGTGGGGCACACAGCGCATTCCCGTGGGGCACACAGCACATTCCCGTGGGGCACACAGAACATTCCCGTGGTGCACACAGAACATGCCTGTGGGGCACACAGCGCATGCCCGTGGGGCACACAGCACATGTCCGTGGGGCACACAGAACATGCCTGTGGGGCACACAGCACATGCCTGTGGGGCACACAGCGCATGCCCGTGGGGCATACAACACAGCACGTGCCTGTGGGGTACACATGCCCACAGGGTGGCCTGGGCTCCACCACAGTGCTAGGCTATGTTTGGGACCCGGGGAGAAAGAAGCCAGACCTGCAGAAGGAAGAGGCCCTTGTGAGGCTGGAGAGGGGAGAGTGGGACTCGGGCCATGCCCTGGGCTGGACCTTGAGCTCAGGGGTCGTCAGAGCTCTTTGCGAGGGTTTGCGGGTGTGGAGGACATGGGGACCGGTTCTGGCGAGTGCTCCGTCACGTCTGAGCGGGCACAGACCCCCAGCACCGTCCCCATGCCCGGACTTTCCCTCTCCCCTCCCACAAACCCACGGCAGCACGGGGATTGGAGGGCAGGGTGGGGCCTTGTGGGGAAAGGACTCTCAGCCCTTGTGCGCCCCTCCTGCCTCCAGGCAACTATGGGAATGAGGTGGATGGCCTGTCCCGACCCCAGCGGCCTCGACCTCAGAAGGAGCCCGGGGATGAGGAGGAAGTGGATCTGATTCAGAACTCGAGTGACGATGAGACGGAGGAGGGTGGGGACCTGGCCTCAGTCTCCTCCACCCCACCCATGCGGCCCCAGATCACCGACAGGTGAGCCAGGTGGCAAGGGGGTCCTGGGAGGGCCAGCCTGCTGCCTCCCACCCTCTTGACGCCTAGCCCTCCCACCTCCGTGGACCCCCAATCTTCCACCTCCTGCCTCCTCCCGCCCCAGGAACTACTTCCACCTGCCCTACCTGGAGCACAAGCCCTGCATCTACATCAAGAGCTGGTGGCCAGACCAGCGCCGCCGCCTCTACAACGCCAACATCATGGACCACATAGCAGACAAGCTGGTCAGCGCCAGGACTGGGTGGGAGGGGGCGGGGACGCTGGGGCGGGGACTGCGGGGTGACCCAGCAGGACCTACGTTCCTGTCCCTGCCCTCAGGTACCAGAAGGGGGCCAAGAGCCCGAGGGCTACCGGAGTGGAGTCTGGGACTCCTGACCCGGCCAGAGTTGGGGTTCCCTGAGGCAGCTGAGCAGCCCTCTGTCTCTGGCCCGCACCTTCCCCAGCTAGCCCTGAGTTCCGCCCGGAGCCCACCGGGACCACGATTCAGAGCCCAAGTGGCATCTTCCTCGGGAACTGAAGGCCGCGGGCTCTGAGAGCAGAGCCTGGAAACTGGGTGGTTTCCTGATGCGGGTGGGACACTGGAGGTGGCGCTAGCGAGAGGTCCCAAGTCACTAGCCCTTCGTTTCCCCGAGGGGTGGGAAGCTGGGGGAGGGGCTGTGGCTCAGCCTGCACCCTTCCGCCTGGTTCTCAGGAAGAAGGCCTGAACGATGTGCAGGAGATGATCAAAACGGAGAAGTCCTACCCCGAGCGCCGACTGCGGGGCGTCCTGGAGGAGCTGAGCTGTGGCTGCCGGTGAGGGCACCGTGAGGGCACCGGGCCATGGGGCGGGGGAGGGGTGGGGGCTGGCAGTGGGGGCCTGGGAAGAGAAGAAGGTGTCTGCAGCCTCCTGCTGGTGAGTGGGCTCTGCTAAGCCCTGCTCCCCTCGCCCCCCAGCCGTTTCCTCTCCCTCGCTGACAAGGACCAGGGTCACATGTCCCGTACCAGGCTGGACAGGGAGCGCCTCAAATCGTGCCTGCGGGAGCTGGTGAGGACACGCTGGTCCCCAGTGCTGGACCACACGGGGGGGCGGAGGGGGGTCTGGAGGTGAAAAGGGGAAACTGAGGTGGGAGGGCCTACGTCTGAGGCCACAGGCCCCAGGGCCAGCCCCTCCATCCTGCTTCACGGCCTGAGCCCCACTTCCCCCCACGCCCCTACAGGAGAGCAT